CTTGGAATCCCAAACCAAGGCTTCTTCAACTCTTAAACCAAACTTAAAAAAAAAAAAAGGGAACTCATCCTTTGGAAATATAAATTTCTCATGCAACATCAGTCATTTTCTAAGAAACATGGGTCTTCCAATACGTATGGCTCTCTCTCCACTCAGCTCTGTTCACTAAGAGCTACCATTTTAAATGCACACTAGCCAATCACACATACCTCCTATCTCGTTGCAGCGAGATGTCATTTCCCAGAGAACCAGAGCCATGGAATACACATCTGTTTGCTTGAAGGACTCCATGTTCTCCAAGTTCATTCTGGATTCCAAAACCTCCGGAGCCATATATCTTGCTGTCCCAACCTGCAACCAAACAGGAAAGGCAGTTATAGTTTGGTTTTCAAACCATGACAACGTTCATACCCATAGTTAAGACAATGGGGATTTTAAAGAAGGTCTTAAAATTTCTTTTCTACCAAAGTCTTCTCAGTCAAACCTGTATAGGTCATTGCTTAAATGGGTTCAATCAGTGGGCCCAGGAGTGGAAATGCTGTAGGCCTAGCAGAGCATGCCCAGATAGAATGGTAGGTGGTGAAGTGGTAGTGGCATTTTGGGGAGTTATTTTCCTGTATCTTGCCATGAGATCATGGGTCAGCGAAATGAATCCACATAGTTCATCCTAATGAATGTGACACATTTCTGTCACACATAAGAAAAAGAAAGGGAAAAAAAAAGAAAGAAAAAGTAATTTATTGCGAGTAATGATTGGATTCCGTGGGAGTAAGGGGATTGGCCAGAAGGAAATAGAAGCAGGCCTGGGAAGATGGGAATACAAAGATATAAGGGATTCATTAGGTTCCATGACAGAGTGCTTTGGTTTTTGGCCAACCCTTGGGAACAAGTGTCTCATCAGACAATGATGGCTGACTGGATTTATATGCTTAATTAATAAATCTGTTATGCATTAATAATAAAAGTATTTAGCATGACCATACACACACATACATATGCCCACATATATCTATCTATCTATATCTATATATCTATATATATATAAACAACTTTCAGGTCTTGATTTCATCTGCATAGGGAACTGGAAGGTATGAAAACTCCCTCTACCAAATCATCTTGTCACCTTCTCAGCAATGTATAGTTCCAGAGAGCTGCCTAGAGCTCTGACAAGTGGCTTGCCCAGGCTCCCAAGGCTGGTCTTTGTCAGAAGCAGGACCTGAACCCAGGTCTCCCCTGCTCTGAGGTCAGCTTTGTATCCATTATGGCACATTGCCACTCACGCCGACTCTAATTTTAAATATCTAATATCTTTCAATAAATAACATCCTCAGAGTCTCAGTTTCCTCATCTTAAAAAAAAAAGAGAGAGTGAACACAACAGCCATAGTGATCATTCTACAGGTTGTGGAGAGATTTAAATGAAATGATCCAAAGCAGTTTGCAAACCTTTAAAAAGGGGCTTCTATAAATATCAGTTATTATTTATTGCCTGGTTCTTGGCCCCATGCCTTCCACTGAATAAGCCCTTGTTTACTGAATTAAACTAGATACAAGATTCCCACCCCCTCAGAAAGTCACAAAAATAGTCTGTGTTTTGGAAGATAAGCAATGCATAGGAATACAGCATTGGATGACTGACAGAAATTATGTGCTCTCTTACATGAAAAGCATTTTTTTTAAGGTTGCACAGCAAATAAGGAAATGCCAAACCTCAGGATCTGCTTATCTCTCCCCTCAATATATGTCAGAGCATTATTCATCCACCTCCTAACAGGCAACAGAAAACACACGACTGGCATTTTGTCATGTGGGAAGGTTATATTTTTGCTTCTGCAATACAACAACACTTTCATCCCTGACCACATCGCACTGGAAACCGTAAAAGCGAGACGTTACCACGTGACAAAGAGTTTCTTGGTTTGTAGCTGGTTTTCTAAAAGCACAGAAGAAGACAACACCCCCCGCTTTTGATCGCCATCCTCTAAAAAAGAAGACATTAAATGTTCCAGGGGTGTTTGCTATTGTCGAGTGGTATGGTGGAAGAATATTGGGCTGAAGAGCCAAAAGATCTGAGTTCAAATCCCAGCTTGTTCATTTCTTAGCTCCCTGTATGACGACCATGGACAAATTATAGCCTTTCTGGGCTTGTTTCCTATTATGCTAATGACGGGGTTGGGAGAGATGGATGGTACTTTCCAGCTCTAAAATTATGGAATGGGAAAAGCATAGAAGCACTTATTTTATGCCAAGAGCTAAGTGCTGAAAATTCAAATAAGAAAAAGCAAGACAGTCCTTGCTGTCAAAAAAAGGGATGACACTTGGGAGAGCTGAGTTGAGGGGCCAGTCGCAAAGCTCAGTTATCCTTAGCTTGTCGCAGCAGGACTGATGGAAAGACCCAGTGGTCCATAGGGTTGGTGAGAAGTGGAGATACTGGTAAAATCTATGTGGGAAGGGTTCTTGCTGGGGCTGCTGGGAGAACAAGGCAACCTGGGTCCCTGATAACCAAGAATGTGTCCATGTGACCATGAAGAATCAGTTGACTTGTAATACCTACTTGGCTGGGTTCTTGGGTTTATTGTGCCATTTTATTTTAAAAGCACTAAGGATGGTAGCAACTACCTGTGAATGATTTCAGGCCGAGCTGTCTGCAACCATGAAATATAAATGAAGCCAATATTACAGGCAGTCACCGGGCAGAGCACAGCTTTGCCCCAGGAATGGCACTGAACTTGGACTCTTAAAAAATCTAGTCTAAATCCCAGGTCTGATTCCACTTTATTTCTCTGAGGCTGGCTCTCTCTCCATGCTTAGAGCATACTTCCCTCCTGCCTCTGTCTTTTAGTATCTCCCAGGTTTCCATCAAGATCCAGCTCAAATACTGCTCCAAGGATGAACGATGTTTGTTGTGAGTCCTTCATTCTTGAAGACGATCCAGGGCATCAGGAGGGTGAGGTCTCAACTTGCCCATGAATTGGATTTAAGGGAGGCAAGGCTTCACAAAGTCACCTGCCTCACTCTCTCCTCCAAGTCATCAGAGTCCACAGGCAGGACAACAGTCAAGAGGACAGGCTTTCACAACATTACAGATTTAGGATGGGAAGGACTAAGTCCCCATTTTTTAGATGAGGAAACTGAAGACCAGACAGTAATGTGCCCAGTTAAGTAAATGTCTGTCAAGACTTGAAGCTAGATTTTCCTGGTTCTGAGGCCGCTCTCTATCCATTTTGCTGTGAAGCCGCTTCACAGTAGCATACAGTAGGTGCTTCATAAATGTTTGTTTAGTGACTGATTTCTAATCTCCTAATTTCTCCTACTCTGTAATGTTTGAAACGAGGATCCAAGTTGAAAATATACTACACTTCTCTGTTCTTTAGTAATATCATCTTTTCCTTCTAGACTCCCTTGCTTCCTTCAAAGAACAGGTAAAACATCCTGTATGAGACCTTTCCTAATCTTACCAAGTGTTAGTTTTCTCTCTCCTTCATGAAACTATATATCTTTTCTATATATCTTGTATCCCAGTAGAATGCAAACTTATTGAGGGCAGGCAGTTGTCTTGATTCTTGTATTAGGATTCGTAGAGCCCAGAACAGTGCTTAGTAAATACCAGGTGTTTAATAAATGCTTACTGAATGAGTGAATGAAAAAAAAGAAACATTTATTAAGTGTTAACTGTGTCACAGTACTAATAGTTGCCCTAGCTAGGTGGGATAGAGAACAGAGAATTGGGCCTAGAGTCAGGAAGACTCAGTTCAAATCTAGCCTCAGATCCTTACTAGTGAATCCAGGCAAGTCACTTAACCCCTATTTACCTCAGTTTCCTTGACTGGGAAATGAGGATAATAATAGCATCTATCTCCTACATCTGTTGTGAGGATCAAGTGAAATAATATTTGTAAACTGCTTAGCACAGTGCCTGGCACACAGGAGGTCCTCTGGAAATGCTTATTCTCATCCTTTGCCCTGCTAAGCAGTCAAGAATACAAATACTAAATCCCAAGACAGTGCCTGCCTTCAAGGAGTTTACATTCTAACAGGGAGAAGACATTGCATATAGGTGAGTGGTGGCCTTGGAGCAGACAGCTCCCTCAGCCAAGACCACTGAGACCCCAGGACCAGCCCCTGTTTCCTGTCATCCCCTGGACTGCTGCTGCCTTTTGGACACGTATTAATTTTACGGCTGAGCTATGCTAATGCAACAACATTTAGGAAAAGGTTTTCTAAGGTGCAAATACTCATATTTGGTACCGCAAAATATATGAATTTTCTTGACTAGCTAACAAACTTCTTAGGAAAATTTCAGAGAAAAACACAAATATAATAATGTTTTGTGCATGTAATAGGTTGAAGTTTGCAAAGCATTTCATAGTGTTACCTCCTTGATTCACATCACCTGCCCTGTAAGGTAAACAGCAATATTATTCCCATTTTACAGATGAGGTTAATACTGAGGCTCAGAGAGATTAAGAAAATTGCCCATCATTACACAGCAAAGAAGTGTTCGTGGAGGGGTTTCACAGAATTGCTAAGCTATCTAATCCAACCCATATCATCCCTTCAGGGAATCGCCACCCGACGTACCCCACAAGGGGTGTTCCAACCTCTGCTAAAAGATCTCCAGGGAAGAGCTGCTCACCACCTATGAAGGCAGCCGATTCCGGCTTGGATGGTTCTAATTATTAGGAAGCTAAATCTAGGGTGGGAACTTAAAGATCATCTAGTCCAACTCCTTCGTTTTAGAGAAGGAAACTGAGGCCCAACGGACAAGTGACTTGCCCAAGCCACACAGAATTTTAAAACTCTGGTTATCTAGTATAAATCATTACTTCAGCCAATAACTGTTTTCATCCCCCGAATTTGATCCTACCTGTGTCTGTGGTGATAAGGGATCATATGTTCTAAGTACTTCGATACCAAGGCAGAGATTGGAACCCAAGCCTCCAGACGCTAAATTCCACACACTTTCCACCATACCACACCACCGCCTCTTTCTTTTCCCTTTGGCCACAAAATGTTCTGTAATAGGTCTCGCCTTGTCCCAACAAGTCATCTCCCTGCACGGGCTCCTGACCCCACCCACCCCAGAGGACTAAGACCATATATATATGCACTGTGCTGACTGAAATCAGGCTATCAAGTGATGGAACGCACCACTCAGAACCAGACGTGGGGCCGTTGTTCTCTACAAACACCATCCTGTGTTTCTAATCACTTTCTAATACTTCCCTAGCCCACAGAGTTCCCTTTCTTAGTCTGAGGACACCCTCGGACGTGGGCACAGCAAGATGACGGGTGGCAAAGCCAGGCATGGGCTCAGACTCACCTGGCCACTGTTGGCCAAGTCATCCACCGAGAGGGTAGGGTCCAACCGCAGGGACAGCCCAAAGTCACAGAGGCAGCAGGTCAGGTCATTCTTCACCAGGATGTTGGAGCTCTTCAGGTCTCTGTGCACAATGGCCGTTTTAGGTCTCCCGCAGGGGGTGTGGTCGCTGTGGAGATGGGCGATGCCCCGGGACAGGGAGCTGCCCAGCTTCCACAAGTCCTCCCAGCTGATGACATGCCTGGTGAGGTACTCCTGCAGGTTGCCCCTGGCATGGAAGGCAGTGATGAGCCAGTACTGCTTTCCCAAGTCCATCTTTCGCTCCTCCGCCGTCAAGAACTGAAGGATGTTCTCATGCTTGAGGTTGATGTCCGAGAAGATCTCCTTCTCCGTCTTCCAGGAGGCATATTCCTCATAGGGGAAGATCTTGACCGCCACCGTCTCGAACTGCTCTGACGTGTTCTGTTTCAGCTTGGCCTTGTAGACCTCGGCAAAGCGCCCCTTCCCTACTAGGGTGTCTAGCTCGATGGGCAGCAGCTCTGTGTTGTGATTGAGGTTGTTGGCGCAGGTTGAGCTGATGTCTGAGCGGTCATCATCCATCATCATGGCACAGCGCTCACTGCATTCCACGAGCTTCCGCGGCTTGCTGGTCTCCCAGGCGGTGCTCAGCTTTCTCCTACGGTGCACCCGGTAGCAGTAGAAGATGACAATCACAGCAATAGCGATGCCCAGGGGTGGAAGGAGGCTGATGACGGTCACTTTGGAGATGATGGCCATTAGCTCCAAGTGGTCCACAACTTCTGCTCAAAGAAAAAAAAAAGACAAGGATTTGTAATCAAGCCTGTGGGAAGGGTGCATACTGGATGTGGGTGAATGGATGCACAAAATTAGGGTCATGTCAAAGGTAACAACTATGTTTTCTACAGTCAACTCTTGATGTCTGATCTCATCTGTGAAGGAATAAAGCTTCTTGGATCATAAACAGTATATTGTTTACTTGTTCCTAGCGTTCAGAACACTTCCAGGCCACCTGGAACACTACCGAGTTTATGAACAAATTCTTATGCCTACCCAGGAAGCCTTTCTTGATCCCCCCAGATATCAGCGCCCTCCTTTACTCTGCATTAACACACATGCACACACACACACACACACACGAGTACATTTACTCTTTATAATTTTATGCCTTTCTTGTCTTTCCCATTAGCATGTAAGTTCCTTGCAAGTAGGAAGTATACTGCCAGCAATAAGCACAATGCCAGGCACATTTACTAAATGATTGTTAATTGGTTGATATCTTACAGTGCACTGCAACGAAGCGAGTTTCTTAGAAAAAAGACTGGTTTGGAGAGCGCTAGGATCTGGGTTCAAATTTCTGCCTCTTCTAGTCAATGTATGTATATATATGTACATATCCAGTTAAAAATATATACAAACATATATGCACATATGTACATGTGTTAGTGTGTCACATAAATGGTGACTAAATCCTAACATAGCCAAAAGGCCTTATTCCAAAGGTGTTCCAATGCAGAAGGAAATGACCAAGATGCAGAATGAAGCCATTGGCCTTCATGCATTTCCAGGTATTTGTGTAACACAGGGCTGCAACTGATCTGCTCCATTTTTTAATCGACTTGCTCTCTTGGAATGGACTTGAATGAGAAAACCCTAGACAAGGAGACAACTGAGAGAATGTATCTATATAGGTGGGGGAGCGATTTGTGTTCACCTGGCTCCATTTGGCCTGGTTTTTTTTTTATTTTTTACAATCCATCACTGCCTCACATTCTATTCATTCATTTTCTTTTTACTATAGTATTTATTTACAAGTGAGTAGCAGACTATTAGATCAGGAGGGGACCTTTTGCCATCATACAACTTCGTATAGTTATCCCTTTCATATCGCGACTTTCCCCATCATGGATTTCACTATACCTCGGGTCAGCATAAGAAATTCAATGGGAATTTTGGGGGAGTTTTGCAGAAGCCACAGATGACACAGAAAAAGTTTAGAAACAGAAATGTATAAAATAGATGTATAGTATTATATAATATCAATATATATTATCTTTTTATACCAAAATAATTCAGACTTCTCTGGTATGAAGATTAAGACCAAAAAAATTTATGTGGATTTTCCAGATTGCAGGGGGTGCTGAACCCCTAACCCCCACAATGTGGAAGTGATAACTGCACAAATTTCTCATCATTGAACGCTCTTGCTGTGGTCTATATTATGCACAAGATATTAGGGGTAAGGTATTCAAAGGCATCCTAGAAAAAATCCCTGCCCTCCAAGAGCTAGAAGGGTCAGTCCTCAGAGGTCATCTACTTCAATCTAATCCAATTTTACAGATGAGGAAAGTGAGGATGTCATGTGACTTTCCCAAGGCCACATGTGTCAGAGGAAGGATTTTAGCCCAGATTCTCTGCCTGCAATATTTCAAAGTCCTTAGGGACGGATGGCAATATACAATATACTTGGTTTTAGTTCCTAAAAAGTCACGGCCCCATGGCTGGCCCAGTGATGGGCATCTTGGAAATGAATTCATATGGTCTCTGGACAATCAACAAATAGCTTGTCATGTACCTGAGGCTCATTCAACCTGGGCAGGAGCCTCCACCTCTGCTACCATGTACTAACTGTGATTTTGGATAAATCATCTATTCCCTCTGACCCTTGGTTTTCTCATCCATATATGTGGGGTTTGTATTGTTGCTTGACTCCTGGGGTACCGAACAGACTGATCTGAAAACCAGAAAGGGCTAGATCAGTACATGTCATACCCATTGGATACCTGCAAAGATGACCACAGGGTCACAGATTTCAAGCTGGAAGGGCTTCAGAGGCCCTCTGGGCCAACCCCTTTATTTTACAGATGAGGAAACTGAGGCCTAGAAAGGTTAACTGACTTGTGCCCAAAGTCACACGCGCAGTTGGAAACCAGGACCTTTGTTTCTAGAGCCACTGGTCTTTCCCCTACATCGTATTGCTTCTGTTCTGAACCTCTATTAGACTATTTTTAAAAAATGAAACAAGGAAAACATGCTTCTGTTTTGTAATAACTTTAAAAACTGATAAATAATTAAAAATAGATAAGTTTTTTAAAATTTAAATGTTTTTTAAAACTAATAAATAAAATAAACTGAAACAAGGATAATGAATTCCACTCATGTTCAGATTATATGACCTTGGAGCAAATCATTTCAATTTTCTGGTTGTCAATTACTTGTCTCTAAAATGAGGGGCATGAGTGTCCCTTCCTACTCAAAATCTATGGCCTTACGAGCCCCATAGCCTATGTGTAATACATGGCACAACACAAAGGGACTTGGGAATCAGAGGTTCTGGGCTCAAATTCTAACCCACCCTGCCCTTACTACTGCTACACGTAGAGCAAGGCCGGTTCATCATACTCTAGATTCCTGCTCTGCCCCAGTTGCCCAAGATGGACTTTCAAGACCGTTCTAGCTTGATCCCCAAGACAAAACAATCAGAGCCCAGCATCCACCCTGCAGACAGACCTCTCCATCCTCACGGCTCTCCTCTCCAGCCTACAGGAAAAGAAAACCCAAACAAGCCAACCTGAAACCTTCAAAAGCATTTACAGAAGGAGGAGGCTCAGAAATCCCCTCTTTGAGGTCAGTAAACCAGAGTTCCACTTTCCCCTCCAACTTCCTGTGCTTTCTTCTTTTTTTCTTTTTTTTTTAACATCGACATGCAAAATTTTGGGGGAAATTACTGAGTAACAACATCTGTCATTCTTGAAACTTCAAAAGGCCCTGTCCAAAAAATCATGTTAACAAAAGCAAAGCAGGCGAAAGGAAGCTTCCTGGGGACGGACTGCTTTATCTAAACACGAGGCCCCTACGCCCTGTCAGACAACATTAACCCCTGGGCTGATGCAGGCACCAGGAGAAAAATAAGCAAGCGTCTGCACCCCAGCAGGAAAGCAGCCGATGTTCATGGGAGGCAGAAGTCACCACTTCCAGCCTCCCATCCCCACGGGGAAGCTTTCAACCACACTGCTGCTCCTTCAGAGCCACCCTTCGCACCTGCCAGAAGGCCAGCCCAGTGCATCTGACACTAACAGGAGATCCACTAGAGAGGGACCAGGAAGAACCTTTCTATAGAAAATGGTTCCTCCTGAAACCTGAGATTCCAATTTCTGTTTGGTTTACCAGGGCCCTTGTCCTATGGTTATGGCCCTTACTCAAGTCTAAAGACGTTAAGGCAGTGGGGCTGCATCTTACTTATCTCTGTCATGCTGTAAAAGAGTCATGGATCATGAGACGATAGATTTAGCGCTTAGAAGCCATTGAGTCCATCCCCCTTGTTTTACAAATGAGGACGCTGAAGCTGATCAAGGTTAAGTGATTCACCTCGGTTTATAGAGTTAGTCTGAGATAGGATTTGAACTCAAGTCTTTCTGACATCAGACCAGCTAGGTGGTGCAATGGATAGAACCACTGGGCTTGGAGTCAAGAAGACTCCTCTTCCCAAGTTCAAATCTGGCCCCAGACACTTACCAGCTGTGTGACCCTGGGCAAGTCACTTAACCCGGTTTGTCTCAGTCTCCTCATCTGTAAAATGAGCTGGAGAAGGAAATGGCAAACCACTCTCATGTCTCTGCCAAGAAAACCCCAAATGGGATCACGGAAAGTCAGACACAAACGAAACAACTCAACGATTTCCTGACATCAAACCCAATAGTCCATTCACTGTACCATCTAGCTGACAAAGCACAATTTTTTTAAAGGAGAATTTTTTAAAAAACTGTTTTTATTTATTCATTATTTATCCCCAAAAAACCAGGGATAGGAAATCACCCTGTGACTTCACAACAGGTTGAGTTCCTCTACAAATAGGGACAATCAGCTTCTCACTGGAGTCACCCGTGGCACTCATGGAGAGCCCATGGGTCTTGACAGGTTAATGCAGCTGCCAGTATATATCTGAGGTGGGATGTGACTCCAGATCTTCCTGATTCAGGCATCAGCTCTTTAGCAACCTCTCATCCCCAAGAACTGCAACAAAAAATAACCCAAAAGGCACAATGAGAAAAGGGGTGATGACGAAATCTTTCCTCATCAGTTCCCTAACGCACAGGAAAGATCATGGGATGGGATAGGTCAAGTTAGCAGTGAATGGTGCACCACAGCTAATAAATAGGGCCTGCCCACCCTGAAATAACGTCTTATTTATCTGGGTGCATGTTGTTCCCAGATCCCTACAGCCCCCTACTGGAAGACCAGAGAGCTCTGAACTCTCTGGGGACAGTTGCGATTTTCCTTTTCTGTTTCCAGCACCTACAACGATGATTGGCACATAGTACACACTTAAAGTGCTTCTCCAATGCCCACTACAGAGTCCAAGCCGATATTTCTTGAATGATGAAGCAGAATATGAAATACAATGACAGTATGTCAACTGGCCTTTGATCATACCAATGGTCAACTCTCTGCACAATCTCTCCCAGTCAGGTAGTCCATACTTAGCCACAATGACAATGACGAGCCCAAGGGGAATTGTATATGGACCAATGATGGAATTATTGTCCTAAAGTAATTAACCTTCCAACCCTCAGAAGCACATCAAGAAAAGAGGTGGTTGGGTGGCAAGGGGACAGAGGGCTAGACTTTGGCATCAAGGAAACCAGAGTTAAAAACCTGCCTCAGACACTTACTTACTAGCAGTGTGACTTGCCAAGTGGCTTACTGAGCTTTCTCATCTATAAAATGGGAACAGCAGTATCTACCTCCCAGGGTTGCCCAGTTTCCTCATCTATAAAATGGC